ATGCTGATATAGAGATATTGATATTAGTAGAATTAGATAATGCATGCATCGATGTGGTCTATTGTTCAAAGTGATGGTGATATTGATGGGGAAGCTATTAGTAGAACTCAAGTTGGTTGGTTGAGCTGGAGAAGTTCATTTGGTCTTGTTCACAGTGATGATGATATAGTTGGGAATGTTTTTAGTAGAATTCACATTGGTTGGTTAAAACGAAGGAATGCATTGGGTCTATTGTTTAAAAAATAAACTACTTCAGAGAAGTGTCTTATATATGGTTAACCAAGCAGTGTTGACTTCACTAGATAAAACAAGCAACTTAAAATAGGTTTCTGAGGTCATTTTCTTTGATTAAACTTAGCTCGCACGGACCACTAAACATAATCATCCACTATACATATTGATAAGTAAGGACTAATTAATGTTTATTTCAGTAGTAGTTATACTGATATGTAAAACTACACCTATGCTGCAAATTGATATTCATAATTTGAGAGAATTGTTGTATGACAGATTATGTCCAAGATGAAAATAACTCACATATGAGTTTTTAAATGTCGTTGTGGAATTCATATAGGTGGCATCACATCTGTCCATCTATCGTTCTAATGGTAAGCTCTGGTTTCCTTGTGTGAAGCACAGAAATCAAGCACTTTTGTCAACTGAAGAAGTTAAGCTGGATATTTACCACAAGGGATTCAAACCTAATTATTAGTAATAGACTACACATGGTGAGCAGGAAACTAAAGCTCAGTTTGATCAAGGACGTGCCTTAAACAAGTTACGCCCCCCTGATGAATTTGATCCTGACACATGTGAAGAAAAGGTTCATGAAGCTTAAATAGCCTAATTTGTTGGGAGCATTCAACATGAACCTGAAACACCTAACAACTAACGCAACAATTCTATAACTTACTGAATGATGCACAACAACCTTTATGGGATGGTTGCACTGCACATACAGAGTTATAATTTACACTGAGAATGTTGACCATCAAATTTGATTTTAACATTCCTAGAGAAGCATTCAATCAGGTAGAAAATTTACTGAAAGAGACTAACTTTGCATGCAATTTAGTGTCAGATGACCTGTACATAATTAAAAAAAGTTAGTTTCACAGTTTGGGCTAAAATATGAGAAGACTGATTGTTCTGTTAATGGGTGCATGATATATTACAAGGTTGATGCAATTGAGATGAATTACCGATTTTGTGCTGTGGATAGATTCAAACAAAATGAGAGAAAGAATATAAATCAGAAAAATACTCGATACAAGTTCCTTTTTTATTTTCTGCTCATACCCTTGCTTTAGAGATTATTCACTTCCATGCGTACAACCCCTCACATGACTTGACACAATACTAGATATGTTGATGCTAATTTAATGAGTCATCCTTCACATGGTGAGGCCTGGAGACATTTTGACCATACTTACCTGGATTTTGCAGCTAAAGTACCCAGTGTTAGACTTGGGTTAGGTGCAGATGCCTTCACCCCATGCAGTCATGGTGCAACCTCGTATTAAGGCTAGCCAGTCATCATTACGTCGTACAATTTGCCCCCCGATATGTGCATGACAATGTCATTTTTTTTCTGACATTGATCATACCATATCCACACAAGCCAAATGGAAAAATCACATCTTCTTACAACCTTTGATTGAAGAGCTTGAAATAATATGAGAGCTAAGTGTGCTTACATGGGACAACGTTACAAAGCAAAATTTTCAAGTGAGAGTAGCTTTTATGTGGACAATTAGTGGTTTTCCATCTTATGTTATGCTATCTGGCCGGAGCACAATTGAGAAATTGACTTGTCTTTACTGCATGAATATGTTGAAGACATTTACTCTAAAACATGGTAAAAAATACAATTGGTTAGACTGATGTCAAAGATTTCTAAACCGTGATCATCTAGTTAGATTGAACAAAAATGTATTCTTCAAAAATAGAGTTGAGAGATCAAATCCGCCAACCAAAATATTGGAGATGATCAATGAAGTGTCAAAGATCACTGAGTGACCAAAGGTAGCTTCAACTCGTCTTCTTGATTTTGATGTCACACACAACTGAACGAAGCACAATTTTTTCTGATATCTTTTGTACAGGAAAGCTAATCTTATTAGACATAATCTTGATGTTATGCGCACTGAGAAGAATTTTTTTGGTAATAGCTTCAACACTGTGATGGATATCATAGGTAAGACAAAAGATAATGTGAAAGCTAAAATGGACCTGAACGATTGTTGCAATAAAAAGACCATAGTGCTTCAGGAGACAAATGAGGGTAGATTAATAAATTCCAAAGTTGTGTACTATCTTCCACCAGTTCAATGGAGAATAATTTTTGAGTGGGTGAATTATCTGAAGTTTCCCAGTGGATATGTTTCAAATTTAAGCCATTGTTTTGAGTTGGAAACAGGTAAGATATTTGGCATGAAGAGTCATTTCTGCCATATATTCCTACAATGCTTATTATCCATTGCATTTCATGCGCTATCGAAGACAGTGCTCGGTCCCTTGATTAAAGTCAGTATATTCTTCAGAGAGTTATGTGCTGGGAAACTGACTGTTGACTCATTGAGAGATCTTGATGCGAGTATTCCTCTATTATTATGTAAGCTTGAGCAGATATTTCCTCCTGGTTTCCTTAACTCTATAGAACATCTACCTAAACTTCTATGTTACGAGGCTATATTAGGGTGTCCATTGCAGTACAAATGGATGTATCCCTTCAAGAGGTATGCCTCCCTGATGCATACATTACCAGTATTATTTTATTTCACACTTAATGACCATCATATTCAATGTAAAATTTTTGTGAGGCAGATTTTTAAATAAAATAAGAAAAATATTTATGAATAAAGAACATCCCTAGGGATAATTCTGCGAAACATATCTATTGCATGAGACCATAACTTTCTGCTCATACTATTTTGAGCAAGGTCATCAAAGAGTTCATATTGTAGGTGACATGTCTTCACAACCATAATTATTCTTATATCAAATATCAAGTGAGCCATCAGGGAGGCATGACGCATGATATCTAAGCAATAAAGAGATTCAGATAGCTGCATCATACGTTTTGATGAACTTTAACGAAGTTCAATCATTTATACAATAAGATTCATAGTCCCCAAACTCAATACATACTGTTTTTTATTATTAAGAATTTTAGTAATTATATACTGATTAATTCAAAAATACTAATAATAATATTATGGGTAGATTATTTATTGACAGTTTGGACATGAAAGATGAGTCTTTGATAAGTAGGAAAGTCAAAGCTGAATTTCCAACATGGTTCAAATTATATGTACGTATAGTGAACAATTCTAATCACAAGTGTGTAATATGATCATCACATTTAAAGTTATACTAATGGTACCTCTTTATTTGTTATAGGTTCATAATACAACCAATGGAATCACAGATCATAGATTATTACATTTTGCATATGGGCCTAATTGTAGTGGTACTACATGGCAAATATTTTGATGTAAATCGTTTTACATTTTATACGAGTTTCTGTTGTGAAGGGAAAAAGACATATAACTGTGGTGCCGATGTTAAAGAAAACACTCACAGATTGCGAGATTAGCTATTAAGATGTACTTGAAAAAGTCTTTCAACTGCAATATTCAAGCAATTTCAGCTACATTTTATACTAGTTGAACTTTCAATGGTTCAATGTTGTTCCCAATAGACGAACCCAAACACTCTTGACTTATAAATCACTGAGGTAAAATTGAACAAACGATATGTGAAGTTTGATTTTTTGGTTCTGGAATGTCAAGCTACACAAATTTATTACCTTCAATACCTTAGTAGAGTAAGGGATAAAGTTGATTAGGTTGTGATTATGAAAAAAAAAAAAACAAATAAAAATATTGAGTTGTATAATTCTATAGAACCAATTCATCAAGAGAAAAGCATGTCTGATTTTCATATTCAGGGCAACACAAATGATGAAATGTTTGTTCTCTAATTATTATTATTTATTTATTTATTGTGGCAATATGAGTATTAGTTTCATAGTTTGTCGACTCCAAAATCAATATTTAGACACTAGAATAAGCACTCCACAAATATATGTACGCTTGCATGTGCAAGGAGAGAGTGAAAGAGAGGATTTATTAAACCCGCGATATTCAAGAATCAAATAAATGTGCCTCGTGTTTCCTTCATTTTTTTTTCCTTTTCTCAATAACAAACTAAAAAGAATATTGATTTTTTTCTAGTCCATGCTCCCAATAATATACCACCATATGTTATATCAAACATATCTAAAAAATATTAAAGTGAAACCGCAAACTCCAAAAAAACCTTGAAATAATCCCGAAATAACATCTGCAGTTTCACTTCAATAACTCTGAAATAATACTGCTGAAGTTATTTTGAGATTATTTCAGAATTATTTCAAAGTTATTGAGGAGAAACTCATATATTCTGCTTCAATAATCTTGAAATAACCTAAAAATAACTCTGAACTAACCTAGGTTGTGTTATTTTAAGGTTATTGAAGCGAAACCGCGAATGTTATTTCAGAGTTATTTCTGGGTTATTTCGAAGTTATTGAAGTAGAATATATGAATTCCCCTTCAATAACCTCAAAATAACCCCGAGATGACCTCCACAATGTAACACACGTGAAGACATAATATTAGAGTCCATAGGTAGTGCCCGAACATACTTTTTCCGTGATTGAGAAGGCTAAGAGCAACATGAACAAACATTTAACGTTAAAATTATAATTTCTATGTGTCAAGGGATCATTTTGGTTTGTCTATAAAAATATAAAATAAGTCCTCATAATCTTTTAATATAGGCTAAACTAGTCCTCTCTAGGGATTAATTCACCCCACAATGAATGAGTCTAGAGATTAATTTGACATTTATTAATTTTGTGACCAAAATAACTCCTTGTAAATAGTCAGGGGACTTTTATGCACTACTATGAAATCTGACACCAGAGCAGCCAACACGGTTACAATAAATACAACATCCTGAACATAAAGGACAGCAGCAGCAGTGGAAATTAGGATTCTCTACTTGGGAGCAAGCTTGATTGGGCAAATTGCAAAAGCAATACGCCTTGCAGCAAAGGCTAATATGAAACGCTCATCCTCCGTCAGTTGTCGCTCAATTACCTTCACAACTAATGGATCCTGCAAATTTTACAGCAATGGTGAGAAACAGAGATGCAATGGAATTATTATGCAAAGAAACCATTTTTATTTACTTTCATACTGAAAGTTTTCATGAGAAATCACATGGGATGATTACATGAGGTGCCAAAGGAAGACAATATATTTCTCAGAAATTGGAAAACAAAACACTGAAAAGAAACGGATCTTCGAGGATCAATATCAAAATGATTCTCTTCCATAAACTTGTAGATTGTAATTAATTTAGATCAATATTCTTGATACAAAGTAAACAAAATTTTAGTAATGTAGAGATATTTCTTCTTTCTTCTTATTTGAAGAACATATAGATTGCAAATAATATTAAATAGCAGGATCTTGAATAGCTATATTATATTAAAAAAAGGAAGAGTCAAAAAATATGTCTGATATCATTCTAATGCTCCTATAAGATATTTAGAACACAAGTTTTGTGGGGAGATAGTTGTGGAATGTCAAAGTAGGGGTTGTCGGCGACGTTGGAGAGGATGTAGAAAGCAAAATCTGTTTTAAGACAGCGGGTGGACCAAGTGTGATGGCTGTCCGGACTGAAAACAGCAACCCAACGATGATTCGGCAGATGTATAGGCGGCTAGACAGTGAATCAGAAGGGATAAAATGACAGCAAAACAGAGAACTACGTCTCAAATTCATAAACCCAGCAAAACCGTCCACTCCGAAGTTCATAAAACAGAGAACTACGTCTCAAATTCATAAACTTGGCAAAATTGTCCTCCAAGACCCTAGTACAAAACACACGCACAGATATATATATCTCAATATATATATATATATATATATATATATAAGTCCCCTAAAAGCAAATACTTAATTATAAACTAGGGAAATAGGAAAGAAACTAAAGAACGAAGAAACAAAGGAAAGCAACTTGCCAAAGAAATAAAGGAAATATAATAAAAAAAGATTCATTGGCTCCCACGTCCTGCAGCTTCTGTTATCCAGTGATCGCAAAACAGATTGCATCACTCTCCAAAGCTAGGAGAAACTTCCTCTTCTTCTCTGAAAGGACTTGGATTCCACTATCAAATAATCTTCACCACAAAGCACCTAAAAATATTTCCAATGTTGTGGTTCACCCCTCCTGTATGGTCATCTGTTGGTGAGTGTTTCGTTGAACTGAACTGAAACTTAGCACCACACTTGCTACATAAGGGCTCCCAGAAATAGTTCAAACCCCCCCCCCATTTCTATATTAGGTGATGTCATGCTGGATGGCTCTCAATAATGGCAACCAAGTGGGTAAATTGAAGGTCGAAGAATCTAAAAACTCCTCTAGTGAGGGTTGTACTGCTTCATATATATTCCGTTCATGGCACTGACTTCTAGCATCACCAAGGCAATTGCAATTGGTGCCTCTCTCATAGCCAGTAGAAATGTGGCATGGGCCATTAAAGTTCTTGTATCTATCAGAGTACCCATCACAACTGACTCTTTCAACGAGAGAAGTACAATACACTTCCCGTCCTTGAAAAGTGGGTAGATATTTTTGCAGCCATCATGAAGTATACCCTGCCATATTGTGCACAATTGGCCTAAAAGAATGTGACACGCATCACTAGGCATATTACATAAAGCCTGATCTTACAGCTTGTCTCCCATAAAAACTCCATGAGACAACTATCAACTGTGATCTTATTTCATTTCTTCAACCATAACAGAGAATATGGTTCGGAATGCTTCTGAGTAGTGAGACTCCATTTTTCCACTATATAGATATCGCATTTTCACAATTTTCTCCATCTATAATTCGATTGCACACAGTGCCCCTTCATGGTACAGTTAGTATGAAATATGTTATGGCGGAGCCACTTCATGGTACAACGGGTATGAAATATGTTATGGCAGAGCCACTGTTATTAATGCGAGGGCTATATAAGGGTTGAACGAGTCGTCTAGTTCAGCAAAGAAACCCCTGGTTCAGCAATGAGGCTGACAGGTTGAACCCTACATAGGTTTTGAGTTGTTGTCACCTAAGGGGATGGGTTTCCTCCCATCCTAGTTATCTTTTATTATAAATACTTTGTTTTGTTGTTTAAGGTTCAGTTTTTTTTTTTTTTAATTTCGGGTTTCTAGCCATGAGCTTCTCTCCCTTGTTAGGGTTGTATTTGAGGACAGGTGGTGCTCCTGTTCTATCTCCGCATAACTGTGTACCTACCCCCATCTCCAGCTTGTTTCCATTGCCCAACACCTTCTCTTTTTCGGTCCCTGGTGTTGGTATCCCTTCTAGCACCCCACCTCTGATGTCTCATCCTCTCCAACACCTCATCATTCGTCGTTTAGCCTTTCAACACTCCCCCTTGCTATCGCTAACCCCCCACCCTCTTGATCCGCTACATGCTGCCACCCACCCTCTGAGCATCCCATCCATTGCCACCAACCTTCCAACATCCCTAGCTGCTGTCACATGACCCCCTTTCAGCCATCTTGACCACTGTCTTCATCTCCTAAACCACCTACACTTGCTGTCCAGCCCGAGTCACCACATTTTGTCCTGGATCCAAGAGCTCGTTTGGATTTTATGCGATTTTATTCTTGTTTTAAGAACTTTTATTGTGATTCCTTTTGAATTTTTTCAGCAATAATATTCACGTTTTATTATCTTTAGGGTTAACTGCAGTATTGGTATCAGAAATAGGTTAACATTAGTCCTATAGGATTTCCTAGCATCCACCTTACCCCCCATCAAAAATTTTCTTTCCCATCCTCAACCACTCCTTCCAATCCCCAAACCCTAATCATGCCACCAAAAAGATACGTGCTGGAACCTACATGGTACAAGATACAGCGAGAGATCCGCCAATTTAAACATAGGCTTGCAGAGATTAACGATTGAACTCATGGGTAGATTACCCTTGACCGTGATTTGGGAAGTCGAAGGGGAAAAAGAAACAAGGATCTTAATTCGTTCCATAAGGAAGACATCAGTGAGGAGGAATACAAGCCCTGACGCTTCAAAATTCAGTATCAAATGAGACCTAGAGAGGAGACCACACATGTAGGACACAGGAATTTCGACATCAAAGTGGATCTTTCAGAGTTACGGATACAGATGACTTCATCAATTGGTTGCAATCTGTTGAGCAAATTTTTGAGTATAAGAAAAGTGCTAGAGGATAAACGGGTAAAACTAGTAGCCATCAAGTTGAAGAAGAGTGCCTCCTTATGGTAGAAAAACTTGTAGAAACAGAGAAAGTGGTAGTGATAAGATTACTAAGTGGGAAAAGATGAGGAATGAAATGCACAACAAATACCTATTCACCTCATTACTACCATAACATGTTTCTGAAACTCCGCCACCTGCAACAAAGAGATCAATTAGTGAGAGTTTACGGCGTAATTCGATCAATTACAGATGAAGTGTGAGTAGGTCGAGCCAGAGGAACACACCATAGCTTGTTATCTGGGAGAGCCTAAAACCCACTATTAATAATGTTGTGCAGTTACAACCATATTGGTCAACGAGAGATGTCCAGACCTTAGCATGAAGGAAGAAAGACAACAAAAACAAAAGAAGCAATAACCCTCATTTAGACAATAGTCCTCATTCAAGCAATCGGCTGCAGCTACAACTACCGACAGAGAAGTGAAAAGTCATATATGAGTGGAATAAAGATGGAAAAGAGATACTTGCCCAATACAAGGCCTGGCAGGAGATGTTTCATATGTCGCGACTACAGACACATCCTCCAACTATCCCGAGTTGTTTCATTCACGGAGTGGGGCATCGTCGAGGAAGTGGTTGAAGAGGAATCAGAGGAGAATCCAGAGGAAAAACTTTAGCTCCAAATAGACGAGAGAAAGATGTTAGTCATATGGAGAGTCCTACAAATGGAGCGGGAGAGGGACTGATCATGGCTAAGGCGCAGTATCTTTCGCACCAATGTACGGTGAATGGAAAATTTGCAGTTTGATTATCGATGATGGGAGCCGTGAGAATGTGGTATCCACCTTAATGGTGAAGAAGCTAGGATTGGCAACACAGAAGCATTCTCACTCATACTTTCTTACTTAGTTGAAGAGGAGAAACGAGATACACGCGGATCATACCAACACCCCTTCTTATACAGAGCTTCTGAAAGGAGAGATTCCAATGGGCAAATGCAACACATAATAGTTTCGACACATTGAACGAGGGAACCGAGAACCCAGTTTTGGCATTACCAGATTTCAATTAGCTGTTCGAGGTAGAGTGTGATGCATCCAATTTGAGGATAGGAGTAGTGCTAAGCCAGGGAGGTCATCCCATAGCCTTTTTCAGTGAAAATCTGAATGAGTCAATGAGGAAATATTCGACCTACAACAAGGAGTTCTATGTCATTATGAGAGCTCTAGAGTGTTGGAGCTAATACCTACTAACAAACAAGTTCACGTTGTTCACAAAACATGAAGCCTTGAAATTCTTGAACAACCAGAGTAATGCTTATATTAGGTGAGATTCTTAGCGTCATTCTAGTTCGTGCTTAAATACAAGTTGGGAAGTCAGAACAGTGTAGCAGAGGCACTGAGTCATCGCTACTTACTAATCTTATATTAGGTGAGATTCTTAGCGTCATTCTAGTTAGTGCTTAAATACAAGTTGGGAAGTCAGAACAGCGTAGCAGAGGCACTGAGTCATCGCTACTTACTAAGCACTGCAATGCAATCTCGAGTTGCTGATTTTGAGGTAGTAAAGGAGTTGTACGAGATAGACAAAAATATCGGAAAAATCAAGGAGCAGTGTCAAGAGAAGCGTACATGTCAGTACTATAGGCTGATTGTTACTTGATTTACCAGAGTGAGTTTTGGGCTCAGTCTGAATGACTCATCAGATTACTAGCATCTCTCTTACATCTGCGGGCAACTGATATTCTTCTCCACTCTCCTCTAGGCCTTCTCCCTCTGCCTCCTCTACTACACAATGTTCAGTGAACGATACCACACTTCTGTTCAGACACTTAGATGCAATGTGCCCAAAATTATAACACTTGAAGCACTTTATGGTTGTGATTGATGTATAAGTACTGATGGTTTCCACTTTTTCTCTACTCTGTGTGGGTTTCTCCTCTGGCAGGGTGAACTTGGGTGCTCTATTAGGTATATATTTGTTGTCTGATACTGTGATTGAGCTCTACCTGTAGTATGTGGCGGTCATTTAGTAACGTTATTTCTCCATTTTAAATGCTAGGGTTTGAACATCCAGTAGGGACAAATAAGGCTGCAGTCAAGCCACATTACTGATAAATGAGCTCAACTCTTCAAGATGACTTTCTACTATGTGCTTTTCTAGTTCCACCAATTCACAGTCAGTATGAGTTGACCAGAGTCAGATGTTTACTCTTCCACTGAAGTGTCTCTCCGGCACAGGTTGTGTAGTTTTATGAACATATCATGTCGATAATGTGAGAAATGATATTTCTGATGCATCTCCCTTTTCATCTTGAACCAGATATTGATTTTGTTTTTCCCCTCATGCTGACGTAGGAGATTCAAATTTTCTCACCACAGAGATAGATGCACTTTTCCTTAACTTGATGACTGTCAATTTAACTCTCTCGTCCTGAAGAATATTGTTGTACTAAAAAATTAGCTCCACCATTTGAAGTCACTCGATAAACTCATCTAGATCCATGAGGCCATCAATCAAATTACAACTTTTACTCCAACATCCTGGCCTCTTCTCTGGCACTACAAGTCAAATCTTTGGGGGCATTGGTTCTTTGCCACTGAAAATATTATGTTGGAATGTATTTACTTGTTTCTCTCAATCAGAAGAGTCACAATTATAGATACAGGTAACCTCAACGGATTGTCACCTCTTAAATGTGGCAAGTCTCTGTTGCATTTGAAGGATTTATTAATACATATCCTCCATGGTAACCTTTTGGACACCTCTTTGCAAATTTCTCTTCGGCAACATTGTGTCCTTTTCTCCCTTCCTCCCATTTAACTGGTCGGCGGATGTAGGACTACAAATTAAAGGATGGTTGAAAGCTTAAGTTTTGGTGGAAGATGTTGGCGTGAAATTTTTGAGAAAGAATTTTGGAGAAACAGGGTAATCGTCCATAAAATTGCTGCCAGATAAACCTAACAAAAACTGTGAAACAGCTCAAGAAAAAGTCACTAAAATTACATGCTCAAGGAATATGTTGAGTCAATCTTTGGGGTGAAATTGCTTCTATTTTTACTGTTTGTCTTCATAAATGAATTCAAACAAAATAAAAAAAAGTGGAAATGGCTCACCTTTTCTGGGATAAACTTAGTAGATGGATTTTGGCAACAAGAAAGAAAATTGCAGTAATTTGTAAAAACATTTGAAACATTCAAGTAGTCAGAAAAGCACTTGACCAGGAGTTAAATGTATTAACAAAAGTTACTTTTTTACCAGGTATCAATTACTCAATGTGTGAACAAAAATATGGGCATTAACTATTATGTGTAAGAAAAGAGAAAATGAAAACGAAATTCTATCGGTTTTTTAAATAATTCTATAATTAAAAAATAAAGAGATTCTTATGGATACCTTTATCTGTAGTTCATTGGGACTAGGCCTAATTCTAGCAACATCACCAACTCGGATAACATTGTTAACATTGCCATGTTCATCCCTCTCAGTGGGCAATGATGTAGAGTGCTTCCATTGTCCCCCAACAATGAATTTATAGTTATACCTGAAATCTCAATTTAAATAAATATTGTTCAAGTATTTTTTTAATAATAGAGCAGGATTTCTATTCATGCCACAAAATTCTTAAATATTTATACATCTGCCATGTAAATTTTTTTTTTTTTCTTACGTCTAAATCACGTAAAAACATACACATCAAAAGAATATTTTAACTTAGATAAGTAAATATTAGTGGTACTTCTGAGAAGATTTAAAAATTGAATACTACATAACTAAATATAAAGAACTAGGAGATGGATAAACAAATATATAAGAACTTTTTCATATGCATGTAAATTCTACCCAAAAAAAAAAAAAAATTTTCAATGTCAATCTCAATTTATCAAATTATGGGGCAGCTGGTATAATAAAAATATTGCAATGTCAGGAAGGCAGTTTAGAAACATACTTTCCATGCCGAAGTCTAACTTCAGCTTCATATCTTGAACCTCCCTTGTGAATTGCCTTTATGGATTCCTTCCAATTGCCTGTGAAGTCACCAATCAAGCGTACCTCTTCGCCCTTAAGCAAAAATATCAAAAAGAAACAAATAACAATGTTATAAAAGAAAAATTGCTGTAATCAATGTATTAGCAAAATAAATCCCAAAAAATTGAAACTTAACCAAAATACAGAAATTAGAAGATGATGATCAGATGGAGAACAATCTCTAGATAAAATTGAATTTTACCTCCCTACATCCATTGCTCCACACGAAATTCACAACATGAGTTGGAGGTCCATCAATTTTTCCATTTTCTGCCATGGCTATAAGGTCCCATGTGACCCAAACAATAGTTGGTCTGTAGAAACCATCATTTTTTACACTAAAGCAGAGAATAAATTTACTGTAGACAACTGAAAGCTAAGAATTTTCCAAAGATGATGCATAAAAAAGAAGAATGCAAAAATGGAACAATCAAAGGAAACTTCTAATCGGGATCATTAGTAGAAACAATTAACTAGATTTAATTCTAGGGGCATTTACATACATAGCGCACAATTCTTATGTATCTACATATCTCACACCTAAACTTTCATATACTTACACAGCACTCAATTCATTAATATCACATCAAAAAAACACAATATTATCACATTTTAAAAGTGAAATACACCTTTTCATAGAAATACACCTTTTCATATTTCATATATAGGTTTAAAACACCAAAATGTTATGTATGTAAAGAAGGAAATTTATGTGTGACATGTAACTACATAAAAATTGTGCGCTGTGTGTGTAAATTTGCTTAATTTTATAGGGTAATAATTGATGGTAAGAATTCAATTAAAATAAAGGCGCATATACCTATCAGGTCTACAAGAGTGCAAGCCACTAACAAAATTGTGGGCCGCACTAAGGGCGGTGTCCTGAATCCAGTGTAAGTAGGCAATAACACACGCAGGGGATCGATCGAATCCAGTTGTGCAAGTCACAAATATACGATGATTCTTCCTTAGAAGCCGAAATAGAAGCCCAACGGAGAAAGGCAGCTTCTTTCTCAGGTCTACAGGATCCATGTCCCTTAAAAAAGAGAATAAACAAATGAAAAAAATACAATAATCATTAATTGTCATCTCAAAAAAATAAATCTTTCCGTACCATAAGATATTGATAAACGTGATAAAAAGAAATTATATTAAATGTTCGGAAAGTAATAAATATAATGATTATATATTAGGAAGCATGACTATAAAAAATCTAATAAATGTATTTTATATAGAAGATAATCCAATTAGAGGAGATCTAATTACACAATATTTCTTCTATAAGAGAAATTCCTAAACTACAAAGATTGGAGTGTATATAAACATGTAACATATATTTTCAATTATAAAAAATAAGAAAAAAATGTTTTCCTTCACATGGTATTAGAGGCACACACAGTACAGCACGTTGCCGATAGTTTGCTCCTCGATTTGGCTACATTTCCAACATGCAAGTGTTGCTTCGTCTGTGTCGTTCGAATTGCCATCATCCCGAGGGTTTGGGCTCTGTTAGCCTCTAGGCTTTGACTCCTCTCGCCAACATCTGATCCCTAAATCGACTTTCGAATATGATGGCGTGTTGAAGGCCCCATGCCCTAGATCTTGTAATCAATTGAATTAAAGCAAGAGAGTTTTTGATTGAGAAATTGTTGTCTATTTTGAAGAATCGAAGGTTTTTAATCTAGTGTACCTGGGAGATATACATCCGATCCTGGTGGTTTGTTGTCCTTATCTGGTGGTTGTTGTAGTTCTCTATGTGGAAGTTATATCCTAATTTGTGGATCTTGTAGTTAGTTGCTGACTTTCGTCTTCTGTTCAGTTATTTTGGAGAAAAGGATTGGTTGAGAAGCTATGTGATATCGGCTTTCGAATATGATGGCGTGTTGAAGGCCCCATGCCCTAGATCTTGTAATCAATTGAATTAGTGCATGAGGGTTTCTGATTGAGAAATTGTTATCTGTTTTGAAGATTCGAAGGTTTTTAATCTAGTGCACCTGGGAGATATACATCCGATCCTGGTGGTTTGTTGTCCTTACCTGGTGGTTGTTGTAGTTCTCTATGTGGAAGCTATATCCTAATTTGTGGATCTTGTAGTTAGTTGTTGGCTTTCGTCTTCTGTTCAGTTATTCGGAGAAAAGGATTGGTTGAGAAGCTATGTCCATCCATAAGTCCTTATATGCTAATCAAACCACTTGGAGATTTTGCTTGTAAAAGCTTGAGTTGTTCTCGCTAGTCTTCCTTGTGTTCCTCCTTGGGCTAAGGGATAGGGCGTTGGCTGTCGTAAGGGGAGTGGTTGTGTTTCCTTTCCTTGGAAGGTGGAGGGCTTCGACTTGGTCTCCGGTTGTCGCGGGGACTCTTTGAACGACTTTCTCTACTTGGTGTGGGAGATCAAGATCGACTATAGCTCCAGCTTCAACTATAGCTTCAGCTATACTTCAACTATAGCTTCAGCTATAGCTTCAACTAAGTCTACATCAAATTGTACCGTCCCGTCATATCGTCATCTTGAGGAGCCCATCCAAAAACGTTTGAACTTATTGGTGATTCAATCTTTTTGAATATTTGGTGATAATTATGGTTGGTGAACAAAAATATATTGTGACAAATTTGGCTTCATCAATGGTTAAAATTACTGATAAAAATTTAAATGACATAAATTATTTTTATTGGAACAAAATTGAGACAAACTTGAGGAGTATTTCTCAAAAGCATCACCTTATTGATAACCCTTAGCTGAGGCTGATCTAAATTATTCTGACTGGATGAGAGATGATAGAATTGAAATTTGTGTTTTTTGGGAGTGAATATTTCTCTAATATTTAATGCATGGAAGGAAATCTATTGAGCTGAACAACATGATCAATCTTTTAACATTTATCACGTGCATTTTAAACGTGTTTATGAAGAATTGAATGCACTATTGCGCTTCAATACTGATGTCTGAATTCAGTACGCTCAAAGAGAACAAATGACTATTATGAGTTTTCTATCTGGCCTAAACTCTCAGTACGAAGATATTAAATCACATATCCTATCTGGCCTAAACTCTCAGAACAAATATGCAGTTGATCTCTTGACAGAGAACAACCTTCTATGCAAACCAGTGGTTGTCCCTATAAATCTCAATGAAAAATTAACTGACATCCTCAATGTTGTGTCTGTCAACAAAACTCATTACCAGCATCTTGTAGGTAAACTCATCTACCTCGCACATACTAGCCCCAACATACGTTACGCAGTTGGTATAGTGAGTCAATTCATACATGACCCTTATGAGCACCATCCCTAAGCTATCTATCGGATTCTCCACTATTTAAAAGGTACACAAGGCTTGGGTTTGTTTTTCTCTCGTCACACATCTCAGTCTATTGTTGTTTATACAAATGTTGATGGGTTGGGATGGTTCATGATTGACGTTCCACCTCGAGGTATTGCTTATTTGTATGAAAAAATCTTGTCACATGGAAAAACAAAAAACAGTCTGTGATTGCCCGGAGCAGCGTTGAAGTTGAATTCTTGTCCATGTTCGTGGGAATCTGTGAAGCCCTCTAGTTATGCATCATGTTCCGCGAACTTCGTATGCCAACATCTGTCCCGCTGCAACTATTCAGTTATAATAAAACCGTCATCAGCATTACTCAAAATCCAGTCCAGCATAATTGTACTAAATATGTGGAGATAAAAAAACATTTTTCCAGTCCAGCATAATTGTACTAAATATGTGGAGATTAAAAAACATTTTATTAAAACAAAGATCGAGTCTGGGGAAATTTGTGTTCCTTTTGTGCCCTCTAGTGGTCAATAGCAGATATCCTTACCAAGAATTTTCCTTGTTCTTTGTTCGATGACTTCAAATTCAAGTTCAACATGATTGACATCTATGTTTCAAATTGAGAGAGGGTATTAGATTTGAAAGGACAATTCCTAGTCGTTATTACTTATTATTAGCTTTTATTCCCTCATTATGTATTTTCTATTTATTTTATTCTGTTTTACTTCTTTCCTATTTGTTTTATTATTATTTTATTTATTTCCTTTGTTATGTCTATTGTAATTGGGTTTAAAAACCTCTCATATCAATAATATTATGATGCTCTATTCTCTAAAGTTCACAAAACTACACAATTAGATTTTTATAACGCTAAAAAAAAATTGGTCAAAGTTCGGAGAGATGCAAGTAAACCTTAAACAAGAGATATTCGTTCACTTACCTAATAGAATAGTTCACCATTAAAATATTTAAGCTGCAGCAGGACTCATTAATAGCTCGTGAATTAATCCCCCAATTTGCCCGCTCACTTTCGCTTTGAAAGTTCAGAACAGCAGTGATCCCCTGAGATAAAGACATGCTAAATTTAGCTAATAGAAAAATTGGACAGTTGCGAACTATTAAAAAATACATAAAAGCCATTCACATTTAACTTCAATAAGAGATAAAAAAAAATATGAAATTCAAGCTGAAAACGTATTATAAGACGACTTAAGGATGCATAATTTCCGGAAGAATGAGAAAAAGCACGTATATTGCTGATTCCAGTACCAGATGAAACTCCTCAGCTTTAGACAAGCATGCTCGCTTATCATAAATGCTACAAGTTTTTCAACAAGGCAAGTAGTGATAGCAGGCTTCCACTGTTAAAAAACACACGGTGCTTCCACCCAGAATCCACCAACTGGAAGTCTGTTAAACTGAAAGAGGGGAAGAGATGAAACAAAACAATTATGGACATGCACAAATAGAGTGAGAGAGATAAAGGACAAGGAACAGTGGGACTATCCATAATTGAAGAAATATTTGGAAATTGAGAAGAGATGCAGTGTAAGTGAAGGAGGTTGTGTATGTGATGAGCAAGAGAACAGTAAGGCTATAAGAATTTTTCGTAATGGCGTGATAAACAATTACAGGATCGAGTATAAACCATATTTTCATTATAAAACACGAATTCATATTTTCATTTGTTTCAAATTTTTAATGGTTCGATCATGAAATGGGTAAATGCATCAGTTCGGTAGTTCAAAAATCAAAAAATCACAAAAATCACATGGGTGCTTGATTTGTAAATAGCAATGTTTTGGGTGCTCGATATGTAATTATCCCTAAAAATTATAAAGAACTTGAATTTTGTTAGTGTATAAGTTTTCATTATACATATCATCTATAGAGAGATTGAAAGCTTTGTAGAAGATGACCTTTTTCCAATCACCACCAAAGTTTGAAAAAACTTTGGTTAAAGAAATATTTCTTTAGATTAAAGTAATTTTGGTTGCACTTACCCAAAAGGAGAGTGTGTATGATTCAAGAAGTTGGTTTTGTACTCACGTAGTATAGAAGAGTATATTAAGTTACACTCACCTGGCAGTAGAGTATATTAGTGTAGAGCTTCTAAAGCCCCATTGAAGGAAGTTTCTACTTTTGGTAGTGAGTTCCGAAACTGGGGATTAAACAGAAGTAGACGTAAGCTCTGGGTTGATTTTTGAGTTGAACGATAATAATTTTTACTTATATGCTCTTTTTTTTATGGCTAATTTCTATATGTGGTTATAATTAACTCTTAGTATTTCATTCTATTTTTTGCGTGTGCTTATTCTTTGTTGGAATGTTGAGGTGCGTTAAATTTGAGTCAAAGTTATTTATTTAGCAATAATTTTAAAAGTAAAAGGACTTTTAAATCACCCAATTCACTCCCTTTTTGAGTGTCATAATCATTCCTCAAGAATTTCATAAGAAAAACAAAGAACAAATATTAATTTTAACAAAAATCATGTTCACACATTGAAAAAAATATGCTTAGCATAATAATTACCAAAAATACAATCAGATAGAAAACTAGCAACCAAACAAATTAAAATATAAAGGAAAAATCAAGCGTCACACTATTACAAGGAGTCACCTCCAAAGTACTCACCCATACATATGTAGTCTCAAAAAACCTAAATCCAACAAATATGCATACAAAAATAAAGGAAAATTAAATTTTATTACAACAATCAGTGTTTATTGAATTTTACATAGGTCAAGAGTTCAATTCATAGCCTACAAAAGAACGAATTAGGAACTTCACATAATCTTTCAAACTCTACTCAAGCAGGAAGTTTCAATGCATCCCTAACGAATTCTAGCAGCAAAAATCTTCAATGAAAGCCCAATTCCTGATTTGATTCAACAGAATAAAACGTGACATTAAATAAGATTGCCAAAACAGATATCAAACAATGTTAATAACATGTAACAAAGATAATGGGGCCTTGTGGGACTACAATGTAAAGCAGTTAACAGGATTGTAGCGTATAATGAATTAGAAAACAGTAACAATCCATGGAGGTGAGAAAGCCCTATCTCCTTCTCACTGTTTTAACTCCCTATTCTCCATATTTGCATGACAGAGACACAACTTTTGGTTACTCATGCTTGCTAGCAGCCTCACCGAAGCCCTCGACTGCCTTGACGATGCAGACTTGGTTAGAGCCAGAGATGAAAGAAACGACAAAATCGTGGCATACAAAGACCACCGGAACTCCCAAATATCCCTCTCGTGACCTCAACATTTGCGATACAGACGACCAGGGCTTGGAAGCAATATGATTGCAACTTACAAGAACCTTCAAAACTCTCATCATTCTCTGTGCTTCACATCTCTTCGATACATTCGCAAAATCGCGACTAGGGCAACTAAAGGTAACGAAGGAATCACGACATGCAAAGACATTTGTACTCCCACTTTTCTCCTACTTCCGCCTTCTGTCTTCCTCTCACCAGATCTACAACCGAAAGGCAACAGCGGTATTATGACGGGATCGCTGTGTACAAAGGCCTCTCTCTGTTCGCACGACTCCAACATCTCCTCCTTCCTCCAAACCGCAACATTAATTCTCGAGCAATACATTCGCAATTAGAGCTTACAGGATGGTAACGACGGAATCACAACACATAAAGGCCATCGAAATTTCCTATTCTCCCTGTATCACACAATGAAATTAAAGCCCCATCTTCTCTGTGCTCATGTGATCAGATTAAGATCTCAGCTATTCGACTTTAGGAAAGGCAATGATGAAACTACTATGGACTGCACGGATCATCAATGAAAGAATCATGGCATACGAGGAACTTCAGAACCCCCCTATCTTCCTCAAGTAAATACAAGATTGTGGCCTTGACGATGCAGTCTTGGTTAGAGCCAGAGATGAAAGCAACGACAAAATCGTGGCATACAAAGACCACCAAAACTCCCAAATATCCCTCTCATGATCTCAACACTTGCGATACAGGCACGACCAGGGCTTGGAAGCAATATGATTGCAACTTACAAGAACCTTCAAAACTCTCATCATTCTCTGTGTTTCACATCTCTTCGATACAATCGCATAGTCGCGACTAGGGCTGACTGAAGGTAACGAGGGAATCACGACATGCAAAGACATTTGTACTCCGACTTTTCTCCTACTTCCACCTCTTGTCTTCCTCTCACCAGATCTACAACCGAAAGGCAACAACGGTATCATGACGAGATCGCTGTGTACAAAGGCCTCTCTCTGTTTGTATGAATCCAACATCTCCTCCTTCCTCCAAACCGCAACGTTAATTCTCGAGCGATACAGTCGCGATTAAAGCTTACAGGATGGTAACGACAGAATCACAGCACATAAAGGCCACCGAAATTCCCTATTCTCCCTGTATCACACGACGAAATTAAAGCCCCATCTTCTCTCTGCTCATGTGATCAGATTAAGATCTTAGCTATTCGACTTCGGGAAAGGCGATGATGAAATTACTATGGACTGCAGGGATCATCAATGAAAGAATCATGGCATACGAGGATCTTCAGAACCCCCCTATCCTCAAGTAAATACAAGATTGTGGCCTTCAAA